AACTAAGGATAAGATAGAAACTAATTAACTGCTAAACAGTAAATAACTACCCTACAATACAGAGAACTTGGACTGTTGCAGTTCTTATGCATATTTCTAACACTCCTCCTTGCTTTAAGAGCTGCAAACTCCAAGTTTTTGCCTGAGAAGTTGAAATTTATTGCCTGATAATGGTTTGGTGAAGATATCAGCCAGCTGCTCTTCAGTTTTGCAATAGAGCAGAATCACGTCACCATTATTTTGCACTTCCCTCAAGAAGAAAAGCTTGATGTTGAAGTGTTTTGTTTTCCCATGAAATACAGGATTATGAGAAATTGCTATCGCAGATTGGTTGTCCACAAATACTTCAGTTCCCTTTGTTTGATTCATGTGCAGATCACGAAAAATTTTCCTCAACCACAATGCTTGATTCACTGCTGCTGTTGCAGCCACAAATTCTGCCTCTGCAGTGGATTGAGCCACAATGTCCTGCTTCTTTGAGCACCACGAAAACACTCCTAAGCCAAGACTGAAACAATATCCAGATGTGCTCTTCATGTCATCTGCGGATCCAGCCCAATCACTATCAGAATACCCAAGTAGTTTCAGATCTAATTTTTCTGAAACTTGACACCATAATTGATGGTACCTTTGATGTATCTGCAACTCGTTTTGCTGCTTTTAGATGCACCTCACTAGCACAATGCATGAACCTCGATAGAATGCTTATAGCATACAAAATATCGGGTCTTGTAGCTGTGAGATACATCAAACAACCGACTAAGCCTTTGAAGTACGTTTCCTTCACTTACTCTGCTCCATCATTCTTGCTTAGTTTCTCTTTTTGGTTCATAGGAGTACTCATCTCCTTGCAATCTTCCATGTTGAACTTCTTGAGAATTTCCTTAGCATATTTCTTCTGGCAAATGAAAACTTCATCCTGTCCCTGCTTGATTTCCATACCAAGAAAATAAGACATTAGTCCAAGATCAGTCATGTCGAAGGCTTGCATCATTTCTTGCTTGAAATCCTCAATATGCCTTGTATTGCTTCCTGTAACTAGTACATCATCCACATATATAGACACAACAAGAATATCAATGCCATGATGTTTAACATAAAGAGTAGATTCTGATAGACTTTTTTCAAAGCCTAAGCCAAGTAAATGGCCATCTATTCGACCATACCAGGCCCTTGGTACCTGTTTAAGTCCATAAAGTGCCTTTCTTAGCCTATAAACTTTGTCCTCCTTTCCTTTCTCCACAAAGCCTTCAGGTTGCTCAACATAAATTTCTTCCTGAAGAAAGCCATTAAGGAATGCTGATTTGACATCCATCTGATACACTTTCCAACCCAATTGTGCAGCAAGAGCAAGAAGTAACCTGATAGTGTCAAGCCTAGCTACTGGTGCAAATGTATCAAAATAATCCACACCAAAAATTTGAACATACTCCTTTTTTTTTTTTGAAACTGGTAATGTTGTATTCCTCAGCATTAAGGTATGCTGGAGAACTCCAAAAAGGTAGTAACAAGCTAGAACAAGAGACTAATTACAGTAATCCTAAAAGATCTACTAATTGTTCAGCATTTTCTTTACAATGTTCTTTACACCAAAAGTAGAAAGTTGTTATGCAGCTCTCTTTGATTTTCTGAATGTTGTTGAATCTATCTTCAAAGTTTCTTCCATTCCTCTCTCTCCAGATAGTCCACCAGATACAGTGTGGGATTATTCTCCACCACTTCTTCTGTGTCTTGCTTCCCCCTCTCCTAATCCAGCAACTTAACAAGTCTGCTGTGTGCTCTAACATTGACCATTTTGTTTCTGTTAAACTGAGGAACACAGTCCAAAGCTGAGATGTGACTTTACAATGGAGGAACAAATGATTATTTGTCTCTCTAGCGTCACTACATAACATGCATCTGGACACAATTGGCAATCCTTTTTCTGCAGGATCTCATGAGTGAGGCAAGCTTTCCTGATTACTAACCAAGCAAAGCACTTGACCTTAGTAGGAGCCATACTTTTCCATACATGCTTCCAAGGGCCTATTTTGTTCTCAGGCATCCAGGATACCTCTTTCCTATAAATTCTACCTACAGAGAACTTGCCATCTAAAAGTGTCATCCTCTACAGTACTGATACTGCATTGGTACACCATTGCTCTGTCTGGCCATATTTATTCAGGATTACCTCCTTCCATAGAGCATGATCATTTCCATTTAATCTCCATAACCATTTCATGAGCAAGCAATCATTCTGCAGTTTCAGATTCCTTACTCCTAAACCACCAGCCTCCTTGTGTAATTGTGCAGTCTTCCATTCTACCAAATGATACCCCTTTCGTAGGTGGTTGATACTGCATTGGTACACCATTGCTCTGTCTGGCCATATTTATTCAGGATTACCTCCTTCCATAGAGCATGATCATTTCCATTTAATCTCCATAACCATTTCATGAGCAAGCAATCATTCTGCAGTTTCAGATTCCTTACTCCTAAACCACCAGCCTCCTTGTGTAATTGTGCAGTCTTCCATTCTACCAAATGATACCCCTTTCGTAGGTGGTTGATACTGCATTGGTACACCATTGCTCTGTCTGGCCATATTTATTCAGGATTACCTCCTTCCATAGAGCATGATCATTTCCATTTAATCTCCATAACCATTTCATGAGCAAGCAATCATTCTGCAGTTTCAGATTCCTTACTCCTAAACCACCAGCCTCCTTGTGTAATTGTGCAGTTTTCCATTCTACCAAATGATACCCCTTTCCCTCCTTGTTCCCAAACCAAAGAAAATTTCTTCTTGATCGGTCCAACTTCTTGACCACACTTATGCTTGAGCATACCCCTTAACTACAAGTCTTGCTTTATGCTTGTTCACTGAACCATCAGCATTTAGCTTGGTTCTAAAGACCCATTTCAACCCAATTATCTTTCTGTCTTCAGGTTGATCAACAAGCTCCCAAGCCATGTTCTTCTCAATCATAAACAACTCTTCTTTCATTGCAGCCACCCATTTTTCATCATTCTTGGCTTCATTGTACCCAGCAGGTTCACATACTGCTACATTGCATCTCTGATATATATCAATGAGTTGTCGAGTACCTTTGACTAGTAAATGATCCACCATTTCATCCTGCCGTGAGAGTGATATTTTCTTTTCAAAAAACTTAGTAGGAGACTTTTCTGCTTTGTCAGAAGTGTTAAGGACAGATTTCTTCGAGTCGTCCCAACACCACTCTTCATTCTCTATAAAATGCATATCTCTACTAAAGATTATATTTTAAGTTTGTGGTTGGAAGACCTTATATGCCTTTGAAACTGAACTATATCCAATAAAAATGCCTGGGAAAGATTTTTTATCTAGTTTATCTCGTTTAACCTGAGGAATGTAGGAAAAACAGAGATAACCAAACACTTTAAGAAGATTTAACGATGGTTTAAATCCATACCAAGCTTCAAATGGAGTTCGGTCTTTCACTGCCTTTGTGGGAAGCCTATTTTGAAGAAAAACTGATGTATTTGCTGCCTCTGCCCAAAATTTCTTTGGCAAGTTCTTCTCGTGCAACATGTATCTGGTCATCTCCATAATGTATATGTTCCTTCTCTCGCTTACTCCATTTTGTTGTGGAGTATAGGGAGTAGTAAGCTGATGATGAATCCCTGCTTCCTCACATAACATGTCGAACTAGTAAGAAGTGTATTCCCTTCCATTATTTGTTTTTACGGACTGAATTTTACAGTTAGCTTCATTTTCTACTTTTGCTTTGAACTTCCGAAAGACATTAGCAGCCTCTGACTTATGCTTGAGAAAATAAATCCAGCACATGCGGTTAGATCATCTACAAAAATGATATAGTAAAGACTACCTTTTAGTGAAGGAGTCCTTTGCTGTCCTGCTATATCAGTATGAATTAGTTGCAATTTGTTCAAGGCTCTCCAAGTTGTCTTTGGAAATGGAAGTTTGTTATGTTTTCCATATTGACACGCAAGACAATTTGAAGAATGTACTTCTAAAATAGGCAAGTCCTTAACTATTTTCATTTTTTGCATTTTAACCAACCCTTCATAGTGATAGTGTCTGAGTCTCTTGTGCCATACTTCTGCAACACTTTCTTTTGTTGAAAAAACAACATGCTCCTCCTCAAATGGATCTAATGAGAAACTTTTGCCTCTCATTCTTACTTTAAACATTTCTTGATCTGAAGCATCCTTGATCAAGCAATGATTATCTTCAAAATTTAATTTGTAGCCTTTTTCCATCAATTGACCAACACTAAGCAAGTTTTGATCTATGTCAGGTACATAAAGCACATCAGAAATTGTTTTTGTACCTGAATGACTTGGAATAGCAATGGTTCCTTTCCCTCTTACAGGAAGATGGTCGCCATTACCTATTCTGACTTTAGTAATGG